TAACGAGACAAGACAACGAAAAATAATATGGTATCCCTGTATGGGATCCTAGAACAGAAGAAGGATAGTACGTAAAAATTAAGGAAATCTCAATAAACTAGACTTTAATTAATATAAATTTATCAATATTGGTTTGCTAATTGTACCAAATGTACCATACAGGGGAAACCGCTACGGGTGTCTTGTACCATCTACTCAATTTTTCTGTAAATCTGCAACTGTTCTAAAAATTAAAGTTTATTTTTTAAAAAAGCAACATTATACATACTGTCATGTGACACCTTAAACTCCTGAGATTGGTAGTGACAGCTATTAAAAGCTAAGTGCCCTGGGGAGGCGGAAGGGTAAACTGCAACAACGTGAGAGAGTGGCATGGACATATATACACTACCAAATGTAAAATAGCTAGCTAGTGGGAAGCAGCCGCATAGCACAGGGAGATCAGCTCAGTGCTTTGTGACCACCTAAAGGGGTGGGATAGGGTGGGTGGGAGGGGAATGCAAGAGGGAGGGGATATGGGGATATATGTATATGAATAGCTGATTCACTTTGTTATACAGCAGAAACTAACACAACGATGTAAAGCAATTATACTCCAATAAAGAAGTTAAAAAAAAAATCTGCAATGATGCGGCAGGCACTGTTACATATATGATCACATGTAATCCTTAGAACAACCCAATGAGGTAGGCGGTCTTACCCTTATTTGGCAAATGAGGACATTGAGACTTAGAGATTCTCAGTGATATACCCTTGGTCACATAGCAAGTAAGTAGCCAGTCCAGGAGTTGAACCCAGGCCCTTACTTTCTCATTTCCTGCCAGAGAAACTTGGCACACATTGGATTATTTGATCTGATTTTTGCAGTAGGAAAAATGGCTCCTTTAACCACCACTTTTTTTTTTTTAATCAGAATAATCTTTATTGATATGCTCGGTGCTACCTTGTTAATCCGGTCACGTTGTCGCTGTGGCTGAGGTAATGGGGAGAGCCCCGGCCAGCGCCGGCCCGGGCCCTGGGGGCGGGGGGTGGGGTTGGCCTGGAGGAGACCTGGTTATTCCACTGATACCGACCAGGGTTCTTGGCCTTCCCCAAGCAATAGAAATTGACTAGAGGCCAGACAAGAAATTCAGGAAGGCTTTATTGCGGCCCCTGCTGTAGCAGGGGGAAGTGAGAGCAAACCACAGGTTCCCTTGCTTGCTTGCTCTTATATGGGGTGAGGGTAAGGGTGTGTCCAGGGGTCAGGCCAAAGGGGAGGCTTGGGTGTCTTGCCCACCGCTTAGGTGGTGCTGTGTGCAGGAGGCATGCGCAGTACCCTGCTTTTGCTCCCAACACCCTGTTTTTGCTCCTGCTCTTCAGAAGTGGCAGCTGAGTTGTTTTTGTTTTTGTCTTTTGTATCTTTTGGTCCAGAATTTGCCTCAACTGTGCATGCACACAGTTATTTTTAGTCCCATAGAGTTTCTTTGTATTTTGTAGCTTGAGGAGAGGTGTGTCCACCTGCCAGCTTTGCAGCACTGCAGCAAAGGGTCCCAGGTCCCAGGGCTATCTCACCACCACCCCCCGCAGCTCCCTCCTGAGTTGTCCTGCCACCCCCCAGGCCCTTCACAGGCCAGCATCCCAGGCCCAAGACAAAATCAACCAGAAAAATTAATTCTTCTTCTCTCAGCTGAGCACCTGATGTAGGGGAGAGGGGCGGCTCCAGGCCTTTCTGGCCAGGGGCTCCACTAGGGTCATGGTCAGCCCCTGCCCAGCCAGTGCCCTGACGATGCCATCTGGGGCACCGGGTGGGAGAGGTGCTGAGCCCCACAGCATGCGGACAGGAGGCTGGGGGCGTACCACCACTCTTTTCTGCGCCATTCATGTCTGTTCTCAAAGACAAGGGGCCAGTTTGGGCTCTGATTACTTCTCATGTGCAAAATCTCAGCAACCTCTTACCTTGCCTCTCCACCTCCACTCTGCATTTCAATCCACTCTACATGTGGCTGGAAGACATCTTTCTAAAGTGCAGCTCTCTGTATATTACTCCCGTCCAAAACCTCTCTAATGCCTACTGAAAAAAAAAAAAAAAATTCCAGACTAACTTCTCTGGCCCCAACCCCTTCACTTTTGTCTCCCTCACCTTCCTCTTCCCTATACCAGTGTCAGAGGTCTCCACTTCCCATTTCCTAATGGAAAGGTCTCCACTTCCCATTTCCCACTTTCACTCCCTCCTAGAAA